CTTGTCGCATATGAATGTCACCAATAGTATTTTGTTTTTCTGTTCACGTAAGACAGTCATCTATACAAGTACTGAGCATGTCAAACTAAATTAATCTCCTTGCCCATCGTTTTAAATTAACAATACTATATCAATCTAATCAGGGCTTCTATACAATAGGTTGTCACATACTCTCATTTGGGTTTTAATCGGAAAGTGAAACATTTGGTTATTTCCTGTCTTTAATTTGCCGTAATGAAAATAGCCATGTTGCGATAAACTGTCTATTTATTTTATGTCAAAGTATTTACTTGTGATTAGTTTGCGTCATAGATGTTGACTGTACGTCAGTTATGTGTGCAACTTCCTTTGAGGGTATGCTTAGGTTTGAATAAAATCTGTCTATGTGGGATTATAATTTGAAATAGATGCATCAATTTGTTGGAATGACATCACAGTACGGTACTTGGAAGCACTCTAGCTGCAAATATAATCTGTATGCCGGACACAAAATTTGCTTTTTGTCTCTTGGAAATATAGCCTAGCTGTGTAATATAAATATAATGTAAATATAACTGTGTTCAATATAAAAGCAATCAAAATGATCCGATCATTTTTATTCATTGAACCATTGTTGTTTTTTATTTTACCCTGGGAGGGGGGAGGGGGTGTAATATTTTCATCAATTTTTTTCTGAGAAGTCTTAAAAATAAAAATGTCCAGAGCCAAGCCACATGCTCGTGTTAGCCAAGTACATACTCAACTGAAAAATACATGAGGCTGATGAACTCTGACAAGTAGTCAGGTCAAAGGTCATTCCTATGTATCCATGGAATCAATGAGGTAATTGTACTCAATGCAATGTGTACAATAGATTTTATATCATACACCATATTGCACTTATAGAAGTGCATTTTTGTAATTAGTAAGTTGATTACATCATAGTTACCATAACAACTATGTTCACATTGACTGTGACTTGTGTGTGATAAAATGATCAGTTTATATCAGTGATATTTGAATGGATGGCATTCTGTATATGTTGCCGGATTTCTCATGAATAGATGCTTGCCTAATTGCATGCTAAGAACGCAGGAAGTATTTGATATATATCACTGCAAATCAGATTCCAGTTTGCTTGCATTGGAAAAGGTGTTTTGTCACCATGGCAACCTGCCAAGATTTATGAAAACAAGTTGAGTCTTGTCGCATACAAGTAGGCTGCAACACCTGGGCTCCTTTTCATAGTGTTTAAAATCTTTTAAAATAAAACAAAGAATACTTGAAAAATTACAAATTTTCTTATGTCATGTACATGGAAAGATATTACTAATTTTGTTTTTTCAATTTTACTTTTTTGAGAACTTTAAATATTAAATATAATAAATATTATTATTACTGTTTAGTTTGGTAAGTGCTGCCAAATCAATGGAGTCTGTGTTTCAATAATTATATGTAGCAATTTCTCTTTCTGAGCTGTATCCTCACTAGAAAAAAAATTACACCGGTGTCAGTATACTTCATGATAAGCATAAGAATCTCATCATTTTATAAGGGATGTAAATATGGCAGCCACTTGATAGTGTGCGCAATTGAGTGTCAAAACTTTTAGCCATCTTAAATTTCATGCTAATAACTAGTTTAACACTGATCTATATAATAATTGAAAAGTTTGAAAATTCATACACTTCTAGGAAGGAACCGCACCCCCCCCCCCACCCCCCAACTATTAAATATAGGGAATATGAATTTTATTAGTGATTGTGGATGGATGATTTCGGGGGTTGCATTAGAAGATGAGTTGAAGGAAAACTGTATTATTTTGCTAATACTGAGCGAAAAAGACTGAAAACTGCTTTTTGAGAGTGAAAAATGTTTGCAAATTTTGTCGGTGACAATCGAAAAGTTTTGTAGGAGTAACAAATTTTCTGGGGTCCTACAACATGTTCACAAATAAAATCATCAAATCATAAAAAAACTATAGTTAATGTTAAACTATTTACAGTATGTACCCTTCTAAATAAGGTTAATCTCTGTGCTGATAGAGAATCGAGACAGAATCTCTACATGTGCCTGGCCCAGCCTGCAAGACATTATCTGTGTGCACACATGGGAAAAGATTATGAGCCTTTAACTATAACCTTTAAATCAACTTTCCTCACCTTTTACAAGTAAGCCTACATAAATAGTGGGAAATTATGCTCTATTAATAGTGCATACTCTCTTGTACAAATGACCAAAGATTTTCCATGTTTAAAATAAATCTTATTTTTACAGTCCAGCATAGAATTAATGCAATTTTTAGCTTATGCGCCCTGTTACTGGGATATTCCAGTTTAGATGTAGTCCACCCCTGTATCTCAGACTGGGTTAATTTCATTCAA